CAGCAGAGACCGGTCCACCGTGGACAGACCCAGATCCTCCAGCAGAGCCCGGTCCACCGTGGACAGACCCAGATCCTCCAGCAGAGTCAAGTCCACCGTGGTCAGACCCAGATCCTCCAGCAGAGACTGGTCCACCGTGGATAGACCCAGATCCAGCATCTCCTCCTCCTCCTCTAGGAGCAGAGATTCTCTTTGCTGCTCCTCTGGTCCCCGCTGGGAGCCATCACCACGCTGCTGAAGACCCAGGCCATATTGCTGGGCCCCCTAGAGGGAAGGGAGGCACGTGAGAATCAGAACCAGGACTGAGAGGGGGCGGACTGTCAGACCCGGCTGTAGTAAAATTAGGTTTTCTAAAGGAAGTCTGGTGCTCAGAAACACTACCGCTTTCGTCCACAGGGACCGCCAAAGTAATCACAAATTTAAGGTTCCTCATAATGGCTTTAAATGGCTATATGCTGTTACAGCATTTTTCATCAAATAGTAGTTTTGCTTGAAATGCTCATCCCTGCTAGTCATTTGTTATTCACAGCTCTCTCTGAGCTCCTGGATTCATTTTGCCTTTTTTCTACCAAAACAAGAAGAAGTTTTCTATTTCTCATGGCCTGAGTTTGTGTTACATTACAGCGTGCTCTGTCCGCTGCCAAAGCAGCTTATTTCTCTCGTTGCGTCTCTCTCATCCTTTACGGCTCATCAGTTTTTAGGTTTTTTCTTCTATAAAGATATAAAATAGATGAGATCAGATACAAAATGGGTTCCTCGTCTCCAGCTCGTCCTGTAAAACTGACACACACATTTGGAGACGTTCTCTCTTGAAATGTTGTCCGAGCCTCCCAAAGCAACCAGCTAAACCTTTTAATGATATCTGCCTAATTCTTGGACCAATAACACTGAATAATATTCATTTGTCACTTAGGACTGTCCCACTAGCTTTAAGACTGCTGTGGTTAAACCTCTACTGAAAAATAATACACATTGACCCAGGGCGTCCTAATAATTATCGACCGGTCTCTAACCTCTCAAAAGTATACCAGACAGAGTTTGTCTCTGAAACGTTGTGTGGCTCATCTCTCTTTAATTCCATCTTATCTCTTCTGTTAATTTAAATTCATTGGAATGCACTTTGTTTGTATTTGTTGTTGGGAACGTAAAGGAGCGTGTTTGGGTTATCAGCATCTAAGAAACTAAATTATTGACATCAATATAATTATTAATGTCAGTAACAATTAGGAATGATTATTAATAATAACGGGGCACCACCCTGCGAACAGGGACCAATAACCAAACGATAAACTAAGTCTCATAATTAGTGTTCACTAACAATGTCAACAGTCTGAGTACTATTACACATTCAGAGTGAAAGTGAAGGTTTAAGTTCGAGCACAGACCACATATACAGCTATTATCACAATACATGCACAAAGTAATCACAGACAGCTGCTCTTTAAAATATAACAGAGTTTATTACGTTCTAATAGTAATGATCTAGTCAACTCATATTAAACTAACAACAACTATACATTCATGAGCACGCTATCTAAAATCAACAGACTATTGAAAAGAGGGGGGGAAGTGTGTGTCTACATGTAGTGTGTGTGTGTGTGTTTGTGCTTGACGTAGTTGGGACGTGGTGATGTCTCTCATGCGCGAGACTCAAAATGGCGGATAGCCAACAGGAGACCCGGCGTCTATACGTGCCGGCAGCCGTCTAGCACGTAGCTACATTAGCTCAAAGCTATATGTGTGTGTGTGTGTGTGTGTGTGTGTGTGTGTGTGTGTGTGTGTGTGTGTGTGTATTAGTAAAAGAGAAGGGAAAGGAACAAAACAAAATGAAATAAAACAAAAGATTAAGATCCTTCGCGCCGCGCTTGAGTACGGAAGATTGCTCTCTCAGCCAGGGGAGCAAGAACCGCGACTCTTTGTCTCAGCCGGCGGTTTTGACCTCCTGAACTGATGATGAGCAACTTCGACCTCACAAGGCAGCTATCTCAACACAAATCACGGTAGCATGAAATACACTAACTTCTTCACAACCCCAACGATCTCAGCGACCGTTAGTGTCGGCGATTATTAAGCATAAAAAATGAACAGTACTTTAAGCACACAAACAAGATAAAATAAACACAAATGAAACTCTCTCTAACTCTGCCCAGAATCTATTTCGCCTTACAGTACGATGCAATCGTGGTGATTGAGGGGGGGTCCTTCTGAGCTTCGGTGGGCTCAGGCAGCGCGGCTGCGGGCCGCGGGAGGTGTTCTCTCGGTAGGAGAGAATCGCTTCGTCTTGGTAAGGGAATTCCGCGTCCTTATGACCAGAGCAAACGAGGCGCTTGGTGGAGAGTGGAAATTCTCTCCCTCTCTGAAGAAGTCTTGCTTCTCCACTTCTGCAGGAATAAAAGGGTTCGCTTCGTGGATACGAACACAGATAAAATAGACAGTTTGGTGAATTCGGCCAGCGAATATAAACTGTTAAACCTAGGTTTTGGTTAAAAAGGGGAACAACGTTGCAGTATGTGCCTCCTGCTACCCCTGAGGGATCGATGGAAAAAGCGTTGAGGTTGGGGTTGCTGGTGGTTTTGGAGAAAGGTGGCTGAACCACAGGGGTCCTGGGGTGTCTTGGCCCTCGACCAATTAGATTGCAGCGGTGCTTTCAGGTAACTTCAGGAACGCATACATTTTTGGGGGAGCAGGGTTGTCTTACCGGAGGTCCCGCCTCGGTATCCCTGCTCTCGTCCAATGAGAGCAGTGTTGCATTTGGGGGGAGGAAGCTCACACCCTAATGTGAATTTCTTCAGTTGGGGGTTTGGTGCTCATCAAACTACAATCAGGATGAAACCTTTGCTTGCAAAAGGAAAGGACTGACACTCTCTTTGTTCCACAGCACATGTCGAAGCCATATAGTCAGATTCCAACATTGTCTTTTTCAGTTTCATCCTTTCCTAAATTATAAAAGTGTGTATCAAAGAACAGTGAGGTTAGTGAAGCTGATTGTCAAAGCGCATGGTTTGTGTAGAGCAGTGGTTCTCAAACTTTTTCTGTCACGCCCCACTTTAGAGGAAGAAAAATGTTCATGCCCTACCACCCCAACAAAATTGTAACAAAATGGTCCATGTTGAACTTTTATTGAAATAACATTTTGACTCCTCCATCTGTGCTTTTTCAAATAATAGAATAAAGAAAATTGCAATCACTTTCAAGTAAAGCAGATTGCTCCATCAGACAAAAACAAATACAATGTGCAATCACTTTGTTAGAACAATGCAAATAAAGTTCTATCTGTGCAAAAAATAACTAATATTTAGCAAAAAATAGCTTATTGTGGCTGCAATTCACCTGTTTTGCACTGAATATCTTTCTAAGGTAATAACAATAAACTGCAACCTGTGAAAAACTAAACAAAACAAGTTCAAATATTTGGCAATAAAGAGTTTTACTGAGTTTTACACTGCATATCTTTTCAAAACAACGATAACGTGCAACCTGTGCAAAACAAAACAAAATGCTCCTGATATGTGTGAGCCATATGCTCACACATACCTGCACTCATTTAGTTTTAAATATGAGCTTTAAAATGCAGCATTCTAAAAGTAAAATAATAGCTGTGATTTAACTGCACGAGGGGCTGTTGGGACTGTTGGTACACTGGCTGTGGTCATTACAGTGAACAGTGTCTGGCAGTGTGATGAGAGGACACGTGAGCCCTTGTTGCTGTAGTTCATCTCCTTGGAGCAAAGGCTGCATTTAGCATACCCTGCCTTATCAATGCATTTAAAATACTGTGACAGCAGGAAGCTGTACTCACGTCTGTTTAGACCTCCACCTTTATCCAGGCCCAGCTCCACCTTTATCCAGGCCCACCTCCACTCACAGCTCAGCCCTGCGTCAAGCTGCGCTACACAAACAGCCTCCTCTCCCTGAAGCTCTTTGACCTCATCATCTCATCAGTATCATCCTCATTCTACTTTGAGTTAAAACAAACAACCTGCAACCAGATGCGCCGGTGTTCTGGTTTAACGTTAACGAGTGACCGCGTGAACTGAACCAGAACACGGGGGGGCTGCATGTTTCATCACGTTACGTTTTTTCCTCCTAAATCGTGATAATGACGAACGTTAAACAGTCGACAAAGTTCCACATGCAGTGGACGTTAACTTAACCCAGCAAGTCTGAACGGTAACGGAACATAACGTAACTTAAACTTAAACAGAGGGAAATGAAAACGCTGTACACATCTGAACGCTGATTGGCCAAGACTCGACACATCAAAGATGTTTTATTGTGAAGATCACGACATCACCTTTTCTCCTCGTCTCACTCCAATCTGAGAAACGCTGGCTGGCCAGTTGACCCCCCCACCAAAAAAAACCCCTCTACGGATCTACACGATTCACGTGGATGATATATTTTCATTCAAAATGGCGAATTTTGCCGAAAAGCGACAAGTTTGCAGGTATGAATAAAGTTGCATTTCCCCCTGCGCCCCACCTGCAATACCGCTGCGCCCCACTAGAGGGGCGCGCCCCACAGTTTGAGAACCACTGGTGTAGAGGATAGTCCTCTCCCTGACAGCAGGATTTGCACTTTATGATGCTCCTCTTTGTTCCTGCCTTATTTTCAGAACTCGGGCATTGAGAAGGCCTTCCTGTTCGACGTGGTCAGTAAGATTTACATTGCCACGGACAGCAGTCCAGTGGATATGCAGACATACGAGCTTTGCTGTGACATGATCGATGTGGTCATTGACATCTCCTGCATCTACGGGTAAGCCAACGGACACACTCTACAAACCAGAGCAGGTTCTGTACCGTCACTAAACAGAAAACATTGCTGTAGCTCCATCAGAGATAGTGTTAGTCAGCCTCCTCAATGTCAAAAGAATGGAATTCATGGATGGAAAGTATTTTAAGTTGTTGGTCTTCAGTAACATTGAATGTGGCTCATATTTCTTTTTTCATATAAAGATATTCTGCTAGGACCGACACATACTATTTAATAGTTCAGTTATTAAATTACGTTATACTTATTAATGGCCATGCAATACATGTATGTATATATATATTGGAGAATCAGCTGCCACTCAAGTTTCATTTACAAACAAGGTTTTATGATCTACAAAATAAATGTTCAGCTTTGCGTCCTTTTACGTTTCTGAAAGGCCTGAAAGATGCTTAATTCCAAATTCAGAGAATGTATGATTTAGGGATTGCCTCCGCACGGCTCTCAACACGGCTGATGGTGGCTACCACCTTTAGCTGCTAGCCACCAGTCTAACAGTGACAGTAGTGCTCTAATGGTATATATTGCCTTGTCGCTTAACCCCAACGCCTAGTACGTATCTGTGTCACATTTCTTACGACCAAATTTGAGGGATCCATGTAAAAAAACAAATTATTCAATGGATAAATATCCAATTTGTTTTTACCATTATTGTTATCGGCCTCCATTATCAGATAGTCAGTGTTGTTATTAACATGGTTTATTACTTTGATTTGGGGAGTCCTGTCTGCATCTCTGTCTGTACCCGTTCACATAGCTTGCTGCCTCTCGGCCCTCCTGATTTTTGTAGATCCGTATTGTACTTACAGAGTAACTCTCAAATTATGCTGGAACCCTCCCTTGATCAAGATGAAATTACAAATGCCTTTATAACCCTTTTAGATCACATTCATAGTCATTTTGCGCACCTATTTAACGATATCTAAATTTCAAAAAGTCAATTTCTACCATTGTGATTTAAAAATACATCTTTTCTTCCTGTAAAACAAAATACAATATGTGTTTACGTAAGCTAGTGCAAACCAAGCAGCAACCTCCGGTTCTGAAAAGTGAAGTCAATAAGTGCCTTTAAAGCTGCATTCTCTGTAATGACCATCAGGGGGCGACTCCTCTGGTTGTATAGAAGTCTATGAGAAAATGACTCTACTTCTCTCTTGATTTATTACCTCAGTAAACATTGTAAACATGAGTTTATGGTCTCAATCTCTAGTTTCAAGTCTTCTTCAATACAGCATGATGTTCATTTAGTAAATTATGGTCCATTTAGAGTCAAACAGACCATAAAGCAGGGGATGCTTTAGGGCGGGGCTTACTGTGATAGCATTTCTATGTCACTCCTCCACAGTCCAAATATGGTCTCTCTCGTTCAAAAAGCAAGATGGCTTCAAAACGGCAGTCCACAAACCAACGGGTGACGTCACGATGACTGCGTCCACTTCTTATATAGTGGCTTGAACAGGTGAGGGGAGTTAGGCTGATGATGAGGGAGTGGCTGACAGGTAGATTGAGGAGGGTGTGGAGCTACACACAGACACAAAGACACACACAGAACACAGAAGGCAAAGCCTGATCGTGACAAATAGTCCAGAGCGAAATGTGAAGTAAAGCCCAAAGCACACTGTCTGTGCTCCTGATCCCCCAGCAGATCCTCTCCAATCAGCTCTATGGTCTCACCTCAATTATCACTCCAGCTGGGAGTATAATTAGGTCCTAATCTAAATCTGAGAACAGCTTTCAGCAAGGTCCAAAGTCAAGCAAAAACATACAGCGTGTGATGAGGATCGCATAACACCTCTAGCACACATCAGCAGCACAAAAACAGGGCTACATGAGAATTTGGAGGTCTGCCTTGGAGACTTTTGTGTCTCAGCCGGGAATCATTAATATATCTCTCTAAAGCCGGGGCTGTGGGTCAAAAAAGTCCTCAGTAATAAGTTTCTCTTTGTCCATTGCGACATTGTGACCACAGAAGAAGATGTGCCATCAGAAAGTCGGGGTATCGTAGGGGAATGTGGAAGTTGTGGGATTATGACAAATATGATGTCAAGTATCATTTCTGGAGCATCGGCTGATGTCGGATTCAAGAGAATGGTACAGTGGGGTTAACCTCAAATAATAATTGGACCAGCTGGACAGGTGTCATATGGTCATTGTATATCACAACACATGATGTTTTACATCAATTCATTCATTCTGTTCATGCCACATAATTTGATTAAAAAATAAGCAAATTGGCACGCTGTAGGCAAACCCAGAACTGTAGGACGAAGTACATGATCTCCCTCCCCCCTCTTCCTCTTCTTTTTGTGACTGTCATGTGGGAATAAAGTGATCCGTCTGGAATGAGATTTTCTATAGAGGGGCTGGCAGAGGACGAAAAGTGGGGGAGGAAGAGGGGTACACAACGGAAGGTGACAGATGACAGTATGAGCTCTAGTTTCAGATGAGAGGTACTGTAATTGATTTTTGTCATTATAGATTGTCCCTGTCCCTCCTGCACTCTCAAAACAGATGTGTGTCTAGTTAAGGACAACACATTTTGTGTTGCTTTCAACACAGTCAGTGTGTTAGCACATTTAACACATGCTGTGTGTTACATATTTCAACATAAAGATGTGTTAAAACGACACAAAGATGTGTTAAAATAACAAAGATGTTTATACTTTTTTTCAAAAAAATTATCCTTAAATGCAATTTGTCCATGGTAAAATAACTCACAAAATAAACAATTATATAAAATTCAGGTGACATTTATTAAAATCATCAATTAAAACATTTGACAGATGTTCACAGATCTGTTTTCCAAAAATGACCACTGTCAACAAACATTTCATTTAATTGCTTGTCAATGGCGCATGTCAAACCCTTGAAGAGGGATGGCGACTTTGTCGATGTTTGCAATGATGATGTACTGAGCTGTTGTGCCGGGGTGTCCTAAACACACGAGCTTGGGCTGATTGACTCCCACTGTTCCCTCAGGAGATCCCTCTAGAAGGCTGGGGATGCTCGTTCCAGTCTGGGAAAGCACAAGTATATAAAATAGGGCTGGTATTTATCCTCTGGGTTATCACATAATGTTTTTTTATTATATCATAATACACAATTGTCTGTCTAAATTCATGATACAAAGCAAAATATACAATTTAGTCATATTTCACACAAAATTATGAATATATTTGAGAATCCCAATGATAACATTGTAATACTGTAGCATACATCCCCTTACCATGCAGTACAGTATCATTAAGAACTGGATTATCCATACCTAAGCAGATATTGAAAAAGTCCTACGTAGCCCTTATGTCAAAGCAAAAGCTTAATTAGCGTGTGTTGATACTTGAGTTGGGATTCACAGATAAGAAAAGAGGTGTGGGACATTCATAGACCAGAAGAGCTTTCCTACCGGTTTCATGTCCACGATGTACGAAATTTCACACTGCATTTGGTCCATCCTTTGGCCCTCCTGGACACAGTTAAATAAAGGAAATAGTTTAATAAAAGGATAACTCCACAATTATTTATGTGAGTCCCATGCTATTCTTGCCTTACTATAACCTCAAAGAAAGAATTCATACACAGGAACATTATTACCCTAAATCTAATCAAATTCTGTTGCATATTCGAACGTGAGTAAAAGATAAACAATTTCATTCATCACCAAATATCAAGGTAAGAATGACATGGAGAAAATACATCAAAAACATTCGAGTCATCCTCTAAAACCAAGCTCTGCAATATGAACTTATCTCAAACACAGTGGCTTTATAACTAGTTGGCCAATACGTTTAAGCAAATATTCATATGCAAATGTTATTTTACTGTAAGACATCCGTTTACAAATCCTTCATTCTCTTCTTGCATCTTGATCTTCAGTGATGGGAAGACTGTTATTGTGCTTTTAGCCAAAATCAGTTTGTCAGCATTTGAAGGGTAACTGAAAGCAAAATGAAGAATCTTGAGGCCAGAAAAAATAGAAAACTATACAAGGCTTGTATAGAGAACAGAGGATACATACATTTATGTTACAATGCATTCATGAGGAGTGAATTTCACCACGGTTAATTACATATGTTTGAAATAACTACCTTAAATGGTCACATTAGTTTTCCTGAATATGTCCTGCACAATTTCATAAGTATGAACTACTGTATTTAATTGTCACCAATGATTTGAATGGTTTGATAGAAAAGCAATATCTTTATATTCATAACCTCTAATAAAGGGAAACATTTAGAATTAACACACAATCCCCTTCGCTCCACCATATCACAGACACCTACCTTCACAATAAGTTTTCTGGATGTCACAGAGAGTGTTCCTGATTTTTCATATTCGGCTAGTACACTTGGGGCCTTGCTCTCAATGAGCGCTGTCAGACTGGCTGCATCAAATCTGTGCGCACCATCAATTTGTCCTTACAAATTACAAAGAACATATTCCATTTTACATGCAATGGTCCTAAACTTCAGACACAAACACCAACTCCCCACTATGCCAAATTGAACATTAGGTCACTAGACGTTTTACCATGGTATCGGCCCAATATCGGATACTAGTATATCCAATAGACACATACCTCCAGTTGACTACTTGGACGAGCTGCACCGGCACTCAACTGTTCAGCCTTTAAAAGAAAATTATGTCACTGCTTGAACAAGAGTAATAATAGAGAAGATAGTGTTCACAGACTTACAATATGGAGCAGAAGAGATCCAACATGCTTCCATGAGCAAAATAAATCATTCAACAGTTAAATCTTGGTATAGGATGAAATTATTGTTGTTGGAATGCTGTTCAGCATTCCAACTATTGTTATCCTGTTTCTCTTTATTCAACTTCTTCTTCAACTATTTCTTCCGTACGTTTTTTGCTACTTATCTCCTTCCACATTTTTTAAGCTACAGAAACCGTTCAAATATCAAAATGTTCAGATCATTAAGGACACGTGTGCTATGACTTTTCATATTTCTAATCTTTAAACTTTT